TGAATAACTTTCTAACAAGGGGTTTGGGGGGCAGATTATTTTAACAGTGACTATTGCAACAGGATATGGGAAGGATACTGTAGCAAGGGATTATTCATTTGTATTCCAGATTGATGACAGGCTTGTCAGGGGCGGGAAATAAGGAGTGCAGAACTTTGGTTTCTATAGTACTCACTTCTTTGAGAAACAGAACTGTATATCATGGCCTTGCAATGGACTAGGTTTCACAGTCTGGGTTAACATTAGAATTTGCTTGCACAGCAGTCTGGGAAATCAGGGATTGTCAATCCTGCCAGAACATCTCTTGCTGAAGAGCTTCCCTGTGTGCCTTTGAAGATGTATTGCCATAGTGAACAGGGCCTTCTTGGTGGTAGCACCCAGAAATTGCAGTTCCCTCTCTTGTTTCTTTTGATGAGTACTTATCCTGTTAGCTTTTCCAATGCCATTCTTATTCACCCAAGACCTTTGGCAGCATCTTTTTCTTTGTTTTGCTGCGGTCGCTCTCTGAGAACAATCGCTGGCTGTTTGCTTTAGTATTTTTTTTAAAGATTGCTTTGTCATCATTATCTTTAAGTTGATGATATAAGGTGCCTTCTTTAATTAAAGATCAACATTAAAAATAGAAGCAGAATAAAATAATATCCTATTTGGAAGGTTGTCTACTGTTACATCTTTAAATGAAAGTGTATATTGGAGTATTCAGATAGGGCTTGGAATGTCTATCTGATCAATCTTAAAAGACTAGGTTTGGATTGGGTTATGTTCTTTGTAATGGTAGACGTTCTTTCAAAGCCAGGTATGTGGTTTCTGCCCCTTAGCTGTGCATTTCAGTAATATTGCAGGACTCAAAATTTTAATAACTTGTTTATTAAATAAAGGGAAAAGTTCCTTCATTCTAGAGGGAATAGAGGTATTAAAATTACTTTGATTCTGGGAGAGGGCAGACTTGAGGAAATCTCTTACACAAATTGGATAGAGGAAGAGAATCAAAACATGGTTTTATGGCTGCAGAATGTTTAAAAAAATAGCTTTCAGTGGAGCTGTTGCCAACCACCTGCTGTGTTTGAAAATGTCCCTCCTGTTCTAATGTTTCAGTGGAATTAAAAACTTGCAAATTAAAGACTGGTTTCAAGGGGAAAAGTTTCACTTTGCCCTCAATATCAGTTAATAAATGGGATTTTTTTTCCCCCGTCCCCTAAGGAGTAGTGAGAAATTGTTTCTGTTACAGGAGTCTAATGGCTGTAGGTGTAAGCCTCTACTTATGGAGTATAATTTTTAAATTTAAAGAATTCAGACCTGGGGAAGGAGGGTCAGCATTGGCTGGGCACAAACCGGGAAAATGCGGTTTGTGTTTCATTTAAAATTTAAAGGCATTGCACAAGATAGCCTGAAACAGCTGCATGGCTCAGCTGTCCTTGTGGCTTTTGTGGGAACAGAAAATGGGTTTAAAGGGACTCAGTCTCTTTAAACTCGATTTCTGCTCCATCCACAAACCTGCTTTCTGCTCCTTCGGCAAACCACCACAACCTGCTGTAAAAGTTTGTGGAAATTCATGACAGGTACTATAAGAACATATAAGAACATAAGAGAAGCCAATATTGGATCAGGCCAATGGCTCATCCAGTCCAACACTCTGTCACACAGTGGCCAAAAATACCAGGTGCCATCAGTGGGGCCAGGACACTAGGAGCCCTCACACTATTGATCCCCCCCTAATCACCAAAAAGACAGAGCATCACTTGTCCCAGAGTCCTATTTATACCTTGTGGCTAATAGCCACTGATGGACCTCTGCTCCATATGCTTATCTAATTCCCTCTTAAAGCCATCCATGCTTGTAGCCGCCACCACCTTCTGTGGCAGTGAATTCCATGTGTTAATCACTCTTTGGGTGAAGAAGTACTTCCTTTTATCTGTTCTAACCCGACCGCTTAGCAATTTCATGGAGTGCCCATGAGTTCTTGTATTGTGAGAAAGGGAGAAAAGTACCTCTTTCTCTACCTGCTCTATCCCATGCATAATCTTATAAACCTCAATCATGTTGTTTCTCCAAGCTAAAGAGCCCCAAGCGTTTTAACCTTTCTTTATAGGGAAAGTGTTCCAGCCCTTTTATCATTCTAGTTGCCCTTTTCTGCACTTTTTCCAAAGCTATAATATCCTTTTTAAGGTGTGGTGACCAGAACTGTACACAGTATTCCAAATGAGGTCGCACCATTGATTTATATAGGGGCATTATGATATTGGCTGATCTGTTTTCAATACCCTTCCTAATAATCCCCAGCATAGCATTGGCCGTTTTTATTGCAGTCAGACACTGTCTAGACATTTTCATTGAGTTATCTATTACGACTCCAAGATCTCTCTCTTGGTCAGTCTCTGCCAGTTTGGACCCCATCAACGTGTATTTATAGTTAGGATTTTTGGCTCCAGTGTGCATCACTTTGCACTTGGCCACATTGAACCCCATTTGCCTGGTTTTCACCATCCTGAACAACTTTGTATCATCCGCAAATTTAGCCTCTTCACTATCATGAACCTCTGTTTGCAAATCACAAACAGGGCAAAATTTGTGACGAATTTTGCTTCGTGCTTCAGCTTGGGCCCATCTCTCATCAGCAATGTGGTTATATAGTGTTAGAATTTCTGGTTTTATCAAGTTTAATTGGTGCAAGAGAAGGGTACACACTTTTTTTGTTTAAAAGGCAATTTTGATTCTGATTTGTTTTAATGTTAAGTATTCCCCTTCTTGAATTGTGATTGGTAGATTTTTAGTTAGTCGTGGATTCTCTCACATTATGCCAAAATAGCAGTTAATCATGGACAGCTCACTTCTTGTGGATGTTGTTTGCTATTCTAGGCTTATTCTTGTGAGGATGTTGAGTGAAGCAGGAACGGGCTTTGGTTTCAACATAAAAAGAAAACGGGTTGTCGAAAAGCTGGTCATGCTGAGATATGATCCTATTGGTAAGAAGTTGAACAATACATTAGAAGGCATTTGAGACCAGCACAAATGTTTTGTCATCTTAACTGCTTAAAAATGTGAGTGATATGGATATTCAGGTTACCACACATCTTTACAGGCCCCACAGAAGGGGAAATGGGAACAATGTCCCCCCCCCCTTTAAATTTCAGGGTTGTAGAGAAAATAACAGTGGCAGACTAGAATTCAGAATTTGATAGCATGAAGTCCTGCTGCTTAATAAGAACATATGGACTGCATTGCTTGGTATTCATAACTGTGAATTCTTATGTGCAAAGATTAAAAAATTACATTTGCATTAATTACAGGCGTAGATTTAGAGTTTTCCTTCAGCTGTGACTGATTTGTATTCCTTAAGTGAGTTTTTAAGAGATGGGCAGACTAGCAGCTTCCCTAGTGAAGACAAGGTAAAACAAATCAGGATTTCATCTTTTAGTTGAAGCTTATGCAAGAGTATGAACTTTTTGTATTCATTGCCTTGTTCACAAGCAAAAGATCAATACAAACCTTATATTGGGAGTCCATCCCCTGGATTTTTTTGGGGGGGGGAGAACCCCCATTTCTACTTTCCATGTGATGTACTCGGAGTGTGCAAAATTTCCACTGAGTTGCTAAAAAGCATTATTTCAATATTGCTATGATACTCAAGCAGTAGTAATGGAAGCTGTCCCAAACCTGGGAGCAATAGTATTGCTGTTCTGAGATCTGCCTTCTGCTCCTTGGATAAGGATATCTGGCAATTGATTTCTGGGTGAGATGAAAAGGCCTATGCTGCCCAACAAAAAGACCAGTAGGTAGCAGTGAAGATTTTCCTGACCAGAAGGCAGAGTTGGCACCCTTTCTTGCCAGGGATTGACAGCCTGTAGTAACTGCTCTGATGCCCCCTACCCCTTTCATTTGTTGAATGTTCAGTTCTGAAGAAATGCAACTTTGAGCAAGAATTATATTTAGAAGCTGTTGTTATAAATTAGACTATGCCCTTCCAGTGTGTTTCCTTTCATTATTTAAGAACAATGTAGTAACATCTTGGTTGTGTCTGGTCCATTCTGATTCACAATATCTGCTCTCCTGGTGCATACTGTCAACTTCTGTACAGCAACGTTGAACCACTGGTGCGATCAGAGGAATACAAATTTGAGAGACGGTGTGGTGGAGTGGTTAAGAGTGTTTGACTACAATCTGGGAGACCCAGTTTCTGTTTCCCCTCTCTACTGTGGAAGCTTACTGGGTTACCTTGGACCAGTCTTATAACCTATCTCATAGAGTTGTTGTGAGGATAAAATGCTGGAGAAAAGAACAATGTAATCTGCTTTGGGTCCCCATTGGGGAGAAAGGTGGGATATAAAATAAACCATAAATGTGGGTGGTATCGTATCCATTTAGGATTGAGCTGTAATGGCCATGACATTCATTTTCATGTGGCAAAATAGACACGCTGCTACCACCAAATGTATTGCAGTCGTAAAATGATGGTTGGGCAATATGGTACTGGCCCATTTGTGCATTTATGTGCTTAGAGACATGTATGCTTTCTGATGACTCTCGAGAACCTAAATTTTCTCACTCTTTTCTGTCCACAGTTAAGAAGCCTGTTCTTTTCAAAGAGTTTAAAAAGATCCGTTCCATCTAGATGACAACTGGCTCAAGTCATTTGATTCATAGATGAGGCAGACTTGGGGGAGGCAATGCTAAGTCGATGACCCTGTAGCATTCTCAAAAAGTAGAGGAAATGGACCAAGAGGGCAAGTCTCCTGAGATTTGAAGGCTATTGTGCACAAGAACAACGTGGGAAAAGAAAGCTCTTAGTGTCGGGCTACAGATCATCACATCACCAGTTTATTTATCTTTTGACATATTTTTACAATTCCCCATTTTTAAAAAAAAATGAATCCCATTGTCTGTGCGCTTCATTTCAGTGTTGATTTGGAACTACTAGCATTCTTCAAAGGAACATGGTTTCACATGGCAATAAAACTTAAATTCTTTAGCTGGGCTTCATTAGAATAGTTTCCAAACTTTTCGTAATTGCTTGAGTTGACACAGAAGAGTCAGGAAGCACAAGTTGCAGTCTTTAAGGGAATATTGCCTCCGTGGCCTTTCCAGCAACATAAGATTCAGCTGTCATGTCATGCTTGAAAATGATTTTACTGATACCACCGATGAGTTCAGCTCTGCATCAAATGTCAGGGAGCTATAACAAATATTGCCTGTAGCAGCTATCAAAACAGTACATATGCTCTAGAGATACACCTACTGATACACTTCCTTGCAGCCAAAGCAGGGAAGGCTCTAGTAGCATCAAATGAGTGTTTAGAGATAGTGAGCCTTGGATTAGTCTCTGGTACTGTGATATTTCTAGATCTAGTATGTACTGTGATAACTAAATAATCATAGCCACAGGAAGAGATAAGCATCGTTACCTGAAAGCATAACTTCACAACTGTTTTTTTAAACTAAAGTAGAATTACAACATCAAAACAGACTGCCTCTCTTTTTAACAAATAAGTGATACTGCGACTGCATGCCTTGCATGGGGTAGCTCAATTCCCAATATCTGTGCTGTACAGCCAAGTCTTCTTTTTAGCATCTGGTTTCTTACACATTGCACTTACACTCACAGAGAGAAAAAATTGTCCCCTATTTAATTCTACAGATAAAACTTAAAATAGATCCTGTGGCAGGTCTTTCTTATAGGGAAAGGAAGTCTGTGTTCCTGTTGTCTGGACACTAACTGATGCAATAAAGTTGGCCCTTTTCAGCATTTCTTCCTGTGGCAGGTTGGGGTAGTAAGCCATGTAGAAAGCCAGTGCTCCCACAAAGCTGTCACCTGCTCCCTGAAAGAAAGGAAGAAAGAAAGAAAGAATCAATTAATTCAAATAGTTTTACATTTCAATGGCAGTCATGCAGAATTCTGTAAGGTGACACTGCTTACTTTTATCTTCTCTAGCTTCTCATGAGTAGGGTAAATGTTTATGTATACATCTTAATGAGTGGCCAGAATTTGATGAATGTTGATATTCATAAGTGGATATTGACAATCACGGAAAATTCACCTCAACACAATTTAACTGGGTTTATTATCATTATCCACTTGTGAATTTTGACATTCATGAAACTCAGTGTAAATCTGCAAGCTATATGTGAACAAAAAATAGAGATACCCTGCACACTTCACAACTGCTTGATTGTCAGACAAGGAATTCAAGTTGTATGGTAGTGGGGAGACAGAAATGTTACTGGCAACTTGAAAGTATTAGAGTATTGGCATCCACATGTTGATGACAAGCCATGATTATTAAAGAAATTTCAGGTGTTAGGTTTGTGATGTATCAGCTTAGAGGGAACACTGGTGTCTACTCCTATAGCTGAAAACGCTGGAACTGTGCTGGTCCACTGAAGGGCCCCCGTTGCAAGAAGAGATCATAGAAGATTGCTGCTTCTATGTTTCTGGCTGAACGTTCTAGAATAAAAAGGTGATGAGCAGACATCTTTGTTATTTATAAAAGTTCCGTAATAACTCTTGCTGCTTTTCTGTGTCAATATTGAGGATACAGAACCAATAATACTCTCTTCTTATAATCCAGAATAAAGAAAAAGAAAATCTTTACCACTAGAAAAGTCTACAAACCCTATATGTATAGGGTTCCCCCCCCCATTTGCAGGTTATGATAGTTTAAAGGTAAAGGTTCCCTTGCTCGAAAGCCAGTCGAATCCGACTCTAGGGTTGCGGTGCTCATCTCCGTTTCAAAGCTGAAGAGCCAGCGCTGTCCGAAGACGTTTCCGTGGTCATGTGGCCAGCATGACTAAACACCAAGGCACACGGAACGCTGTTACCTTCCCACCGAAGTGGTACCTATTTATCTACTTGCAATTTCTTGCTTTCAAACGGCTAGGTTGGCAGGAGCTGGAACTAGAGATGGGAGCTCACTCCATCATGTGGCACCCGGGTCTTAAACTGCTGAACTACTGACCTTCCACAGCCTGCAGTTCAGCGTCTTAACCACTTGAGCCACCGCAGCTCCTTATGATAGTTTAGGCAGTAGTTTTGTCTTAGCAATAGAATGGCCAGAGAGGCTTTCTAAGGACATGCATTACAGCTGCAATTCAAATAGTGGCACAACCTTATTTCCCCTCGGAAGCACTTCTCAGTCAGCCTGCTTGGGGAAGGTATTCTCTATTGTACAATATAAAATACTTCTGCCAAAAGTACGTTTTGGATTACAAAGATAAGGGCAAGATGCACATTCCTTCAACACTAATTCTCAGAATTCTTTTAAGAGAGTCATTTCCTCTTAGAGAAGAAGCCTAATTGTACAGAGATCTAATAACAGACATTCTAAAAGGAGGTATAGCTTGAATCCAGCAGTGTGAAATCAATGTGCAAGTCAAATTCTGCTCTGGTGACCCGAAGTGTCAGTGCAGGCACTTTTCTGCTTTACTGCACTAATTCAGTTTTAAGTGATAGCAATTACTAAAAGGAATGAAATGTATTTAAAGACATCAAGGGAAATCACAGCATTAAAGACTTGAGGATAATGAATTAGAGGTACTACACTCAGCAGAAAATGCATCCCAAAAGTGAAGGCAAGTTTATTTAAGACATTTTAAAACCGGGGGGGGGGGACCCTACTGCTAGGGATGAACAGTGCCTTTCCTCACTCGAAAGACCATCCTTTTCTACTGGATTCCACCTTCCCCAAACACAAACAAGACTTCAGAAATATATTTTAAGGGCCATTGGATATTTTGTATGTGACCTAGTTTGGAAAGGAAAGGAGATTACAAAAAGACTGTATGTATACCCTGATTCCAAAGATGAGCTGCTTGACAACCTAGTGTTTTTTTTTTTTAAAAGGACGCTTCTAACCCTCACTGTTGTGAAGATATTTTTGAAAGCATGGAACGTATGTTTGAGAACATTTGAAAGGCCATGCCTTCAGAGCTTTCAGAAGAGTAAGGGGTGGCTAAATACATTCCTAGCTGTCAGAGCTAGGTGTAGAATTTATTTTAGAGTTAGTCCCCCTACAACCTTGGGACAGGTTTCTCCTAGCAAGGTTTCCTCACTAATACAAATGCCTCACAAATACATTTTGGTGAAATATATTATGTTAACATGGATAAAAATGGCAATCTAGAATACTGTACATTCTGTAACACCATTGCTGTACATTCCTGAGTTCTTTTGCCATTAGGTTCCCCTCTTCTCAGTAGATGCTCATCTAGTTGTGTGGTTGAAACCACCAGGGAAGGTGTCCATGAATTCTGTCTCAACCTGTTTCATTCCTCAGGCACTTTTACAGTAAGAAATGCATTTTGTATGTGCTCTGCTTGAATTGGGACATACTCCTTCTCATTCTCAATGCTCCTGGTAAACAGTTCCACCCTCCATTTGTTGCTATTCTATCATTTTTCCAATTTCTTCAGACTCTTGGTACAATATGTGCCAAAGTCTTCATACACACTTTCCAGCATGTAATAGCCTGATATTTGCTGAATTTCTTTTTTACTGCTATGATGGACTGCACTTTAAAATCTTATAAGCGCTGTGTAAACAGGTAATGGATTGCGAAGGGTGCTCCTTGAGTGACAGGCTGCTCCAAGAGTTCTGATTGGTTAGCATCAGTTGTGCAGAGAAAGCTTTGACAGCAGAATGCTGAGAAGAGAGTCAGTCTGAATTCAGCCCTGGCTGAGAAGAGTCTAACACTGACAAGTGTGAATTTAGCCCTGACAGAGAAGGGTTTAGTGTTGAAAGAGTTTATGTTTAGCCCTGATTCAGAACAGTTTAACACACACAGGGGAATTTCAGATTACCCTTTTAAAGCCGTTATTGTACCGTCTTGAAGTAAACTGGTAGAGGGGCGGCCATTTCACACAGCCTTTCTCCTACCGGTAAGGAGCTGTCTTTGAAATGGTTTGGGATTTCAGACTGCGCCGCTTTGTTTTCTCACCCTTTTTTGCCCGCGCGGCGATCTTTGTCTTTTTTTAAAAAAAACCCACATTCTTTTAAGAGCGCTATAGCGCTATAACACAACACCAAAACAGCACAATAGCGACCCCACTGGAATACCTGGACTCCATTGAGATACATGAGATTGGGGGATTTAAAAATAGGAAGTGGAAGCTCGGGAACGCACAGTTTGAGAGCATTTTTTTTTTAACACTAGCTCCTTCCCAGCTTGCAAACACCATCCTCCTTTTGATGGCCAGCATTTCGGGATGTCATACCTCCAGGGGGGACCTGGGGATCCCCTGTACTTTTAGCCAGTGTTCCCTCTGAGTTAGTGTGAGCTGGCTCACAGTTTTTTAGCCTCCGGCTCACACGTTTTTGTATTAGCTCAGGAAGAATGGCTCCAGAGCAAACTAATTTATGCAGTAGCCAAATAACTTGCTCACAATTCTAATGCCAGTAGCTCACAAAGTGGAATTTTTGCTCACAGGAATCCACAGCTAAGAGGGAGCATTGCAGAGTTACAGCTTATCTCCTGCCTACAGATATCAGTTCCCAGGCATATAAGAAATGCTGTGGAAGGAGGACTCCATGGCACTGTACTCCATTGAAATCCCTATTCTCCCCAGATGTAGTGATCTCATGTATCTCAATGGAGTCCAGGCATTCCAATGTGGCCACTATTGTGCTGTTTGGTGTTGTGTTATAGCCCTATAGCGCTCTTAAAAGAAGTTTTAAAAAAGACGGAGCTCGCCCACACGGGCGAAAAAGGGTGGGAAAACCTTGTCATTGGAGAAAATGCTACGGGGGCACTATACACAGCACCCCGTAGCACTTCAGGAATGGTATAGAAAACTGAAGACCGCTTGGAAGCAGTTTGCAGGTAAAAGAGATCAGGAATGCTTCCCTAACGGACAGGAGCGTTTGTGTCTTAAAGGGTCAATATATTCCGTTAGAGAACCGTTACTAAAACGGTTCTGTCTGAAATGTCAGTACAGAAACGGTTAGTGAACAGTTCCTGAAACGGAACATATCGGCTGTCTGAAATTCTCCACAGGGTACTGGGAAGGTTGGCCGGAGGAGTGAGTAGTTAGGTGAAGACTCCCATTCAGACCAGAAAAGGGGACAGATCTGTCCCCAATTCAATTTAACTACCCAGTTAAAACAAGGAGATAGCTCTGCAGCGTGGAGAGATCCCTTTTAAATCCTGAGAAGTCAGTTAAAACTCAAGAAGAGTACTGGTGTGTTTAGTGAGTGGTTACTAGACAGGGTATCCCTGCCTTCTGGAAACCAAAACAGTCAAGTATGTTCAAGAAAGTATACTGATGTGTTTGGGAAACACTGAAATGCCTCTCATTTTAAAGATTCTAAGTCACTGTGAAAAGCTTAGGAAACTCAATTGCTTCAAACATATGAACTGTAGTCTGTGCCTATATTGATTTACTTCAGAAATTTTACTTATGATTTTAGCTGACCATTTCCCTTTATGTTGAATAAAATATTTTGTTATTTTTGAACCTTAAAAGGCCTCGAGTGCCACTGGCTTCCAATAGCGTTCCAGATTCGCTTCAAGGTGCTGTTTTTGACCTTTAAAGCCCTAAATGGTCTGGGGCCTGCCTACCTAAGAGACCACCTTTCCCCATATGTTCCCCCAAGAGCACTGCGATCAAGAACGCAAAACCATCTGGCCCCCCCGGGCCTAGGGACACCAGGTTACCGGTAACTAGGACCAGGGCGTTCTCCCTGGCAGCGCCAAGGCTGTGGAACGGGCTCCCTCATGAGATTAGAGCTCTACGGGACCTCCAGCAGTTCCGTAGAGCTGTTAAAATGGAACTGTTTCACCAGGCGTTCCAATAAGAACTGATTACACTGGTGGTGTCACACTAG